AAATCCCTCCTCACCTCTTTTCTTTTTCCAGCTTCTCAGCTACATCTGAAACAATGGGAACAGCTGTTGGGGTGTTTTCCAGCCAGGATCCACTCAGTCCTAGGGTGCTGCTCTGACTCTGTGGGGTAGTGCAGTCCCTGAGCAGAGTTTTCATCAATAATTGAAATTAAATCATCCAAGTACCCATTAAATTGAAAATATCTATCTAATAATCAAAGTAATATAGGATTTGTTGTACTAGATCTAATTACTGCTCCATATCCTGCTTTATCATAATAGACCATTGGCCCATTTTGTCTCGTATCTCACTCCCTGCTAATGCCATACTAAATGAGACCACTGATCCATGGAATTAAATATCCTGCCTCCTGCGGTACCAGTTCAGATAGCTGTCCACCTAGTCCACTGTCATGTTTCCACTAGCAATCTTTACCTGATGCTTCAGAGCAAGGTGATCTCTCCCCACCTAATCCAGCTTGCTCAACGTGCAGTGCTGTTCACTGGAGTGAGGAAGGGAATTATATTTTAGCCCCAGGGGGGATCTGTTTATGCCCCTGAAGAATGAGATACAATTACCATGTTTTAGTTGGTCTTCCTACAAATGTTGTTATCCATTATATGATTATCTGTCTCTCCTAAAAACCCATACATAGATGGCTTCCCGTAGCAATAAGTTCCACAGGCAGATGTCTCAGTGTGCAAAGAAGCACTTCCTTTGATTTGTTTGATCTTAATTTTATTGAGGGACTCTTTTGATTTTTTGCATCGTCTCTCCTAATGATCACCTTTACATGTGGTAACTTGCAACCATTTCTATCATAAGAGTGAATGTGGATCTGAATGGATTTGATTAATGTGGGTGTGTGGGTGTGGGGAGTTTCCTTACCAGGGGGTTCTGTTGCAGTTGGTGATGAAGTTGTTGGTGGTGCAGTGGTGATGTTCTGTTTTTCTGAAAAGATAAGGACGTCCAAAATGTTTTAGTAGAGCTCAGACCCAGTCCAGGCAAAAGTTGTAAACGAGGCAGTCAGGAAGAGTTACGTTCACTGAACTGACACAGACAGAAATTAAATAAAAAAGAGATAAATTCCCTCACTGGAAGGTTGCAGTGCAATTCTACTTGATTTCTTAAATTCAGAACAATAGCACGCAAGAACTCAGAAACATACATAGGAAGAAAACAGGCTTCTCCCTTATGCCAGTGGTGCTCAACCTTTTTTAATTCATGACCCTCAGGGCTGGGAACATTTTTTGTTGAGCAAAAAAAAAGAAAAAAACCAACGCTTAGTGCCAAAGCGCCATTCCACTCCCCTGCCACTCCCCCTGGCCGCGCTGTGTGTAAGTTGGGTGCCGAGCCGGGAAAACAAAATGACGGCCAGCACAGTGCTGTGATACCCCAGGAAGATAGCCGCGACCCCTGGCGGGGTTGTGACCCATGGGATGCACACCGCTGCCTTAGGCAGTGAGACATAACTCACCCACCTTGCTTTCAGCTGGCTCTTTTCTGCCTGACTCTGATTGCAAGCAGGACTAAGAACATCTGTTCTCATGCTCCTGATGTTACATTGTAATTCCAATACAGTCCTGAATACACCACAGAGTGGAGGATGAGACCTACCTTTGCAAATCATGATCACCTCCTCAGTGCAGTTGGATTTAACCCAGGAGCAGAGCTTCAGGTCAGGCACATTACTCAGGCAGTTCATCTTCCTCCTTCCCATGGGTTTCTGCCCTGAGTTAAATTTGATAACCTCACTAAAGAAGAAGGAGTCACAGTCCAGCTGGTTACAGACCATTTTTGTGAACTTCTGGTCCCAGAGCTGGTGACAAACTCTCTCCCAGTTGCCAGTAAGATTAATCTCCAGCAGACCCAAACATTTGAAGCCAGTTCCCGTGAGTCTCATGTTCAGCCCTGCTGAGATGGTAAAACAGCATGTTAGAGTATAGGAAATCTCTCTCTTTCTCCTCCCTTGTGTCTGTTTCCCTCTCTTTAGTTTTGCCTTCTCTGACACAAAAAAAGCATGTGTTTCTAATACACATTAGCTCACCTGCTGTGCAATACCACAGGGGACAGGGACAGTAGGTTTTAAATATACAAGACTGACTATGGTAGGGGAACAAAAAAACAGTACTATGCAGCACTTTAAAGACTAACAAGATGGTTTATTAGGTGATGAGCTTTCGTGGGCCAGACCCACTTCCTCAGATCAAATTGTGGAAGAAAATTGGCATGACCATATATACCAAAGGGATACAATCAAAAAAAGTTAACACATATAAAATTGACAAATCAGATTTTAGAACAGAGGAGAGGTGAGGGGGGGGAGGCTAGTGTCTATGAGTTAATGATATTAGGGGTGATAGTGCTGACCAAGTGTGAGCAAATCATTGATTTTTTTTTCAGTTTGGAAGCTGAACTGAAAAATTCAAGGAAAAAATCAGTTTGATTTGAACTGAAATCAAATGTTATTTTTTTTTCTTGCTGAAACAAAACAATATCAAATGTTGTCAGGTCAGCTGAAACATTTTGTTTGACCCCAAATTACATTTGTGTTGTTTTATTTCTTGTTTTATTTTGGATTAAACAAAATGTTTCATTCAGTTCCAAATGATCTTTTAAACTTTCCTTTCTGAGTGTTTTTCACCCCTTTTAAAAATACAGCTAAACTTTTCAGTGAAACAAGGTGAGGGAGGCGATGTTTTTTATTGCACCATCTTCTGTTGGTGAGAGAGACTAGCTTTGGAGCTCACACAGAGCTTCATACTTCAAGAAGAGCTCAGTGTGAGCTCGAATGTTTGTCTCTTTCACCAATGTAAATCAATCCAATAATAGCTATTGCCTCCCTATATTGCCTTTCTAATATCCTGGAACAAACATGACTTCAACAACACCACAAATAATTTGAGACAAAACATCATTTTTAAATGGCTAAAAATGGAGTGTTTTGACATTTTTTTAAAATTCCCATTTTTTCCAGCCAACGCTATTTGTTGAATTTCAGCCATTTACTTTAAAAATAAATTCACCGTGCTCCAGTGCTGATGTTGTAAAAGCTACAGGTCCCTTGTCTCCACTAAGATTTTACAATGGACTAGTGAATACTTGTGAGTTATCGCCATGTAAAATCTTCCTCTTTCCTGAAGCGAATCAGCCCTCAACTCAATCTTGTCTCCTGTTAGTTCCTTTTGCTCCAGCGCTCTCTGAAATGTCAGAAGCTGTTTTGTGAAGCAGAGCAGGAAGGCTATGGTGTTCATTTGTTTGTGTGGCTCTCTTGATGTGTAGTAGTGTGTGTGTGTGTGTGTGGCTTTGTGTGTGTAGACACACCAGCATGCACATGGAGACAGCTGGGCTGTCTTACTACTCTATACTAGAGCAATGTTGTAGATGCGATTCCAGCTCCAGATGTTAGCAGCACTGGGATCAATGGGCTGGCAGCTGCTGCTGGAGTTTAACCCTGCGGCTGATGAGCAATAGGAGATGCTAAAAGCCCTGCGGTAGTTAGCAGTAAGTCTGCATTAAGGCTCCCAACATTGCTAACCTCAGTGAAGCTGTTTGCAATAGTGGTACATTTTTGCAAAATTTCCCGTCTGTAGCTGAGGCATCAGCGCCCTGGAGGTGCTGAGACTGTGTAGTCATCAGAGTCTGGGCTGCTTGACCCGCTCCTCTTGCAAAGATTTCTCAGGGTGTGAGGTGTCCCAGAGCAAGAAGGATGGTGCTGGGCCTAGCTGGCTAACCCTTGCTGCAGTGACATTCTGGGGACCAGTACACATCAGGATGAGGAAACCAGGATAAGTCTCTTTCTTGATGCCGCAGAACGCTAAGCTGGTTACATATGTTGCTAATAAGCTAAGTAACTGACGGCTGCCTGATTGGATTTTATTTTATATCCAAGAGCAACATGGCTTGAAAGAGGTTTCAACAGATGCACTGACCTGCAGGATTCCAGCTTTCCCAACCATGGCAGGAGGTCACTGCAAAGAGAAGAGACCGTCAGGAGAAGTAAGGTGGACAGGCATGACTTCAGTTCAAACATACTTCTCATTAGGAGCCAGGCAGCTAATGCTGCATCATGCCCCTTGGCCAGGGAAACATGGCACCTTGGTTCTAAACCAAGGCTACCCAACTTTGGAAGTCCCGGGGCCCACAATGATACAGCACATGCCAAGGGCCTCAACTTAAGTGGGGTTGCATAGACATGCAAATATATGCAAATAGCTTCTTTCACACCGACGGACATTACACAAAGATTAAAGCAAGACTACACAACATGCAGGCCCCATTTAAGTCAGCTCCGCTGATATTAATAAAATGCAATATTTACCTCATTCCCACCCATATGATCAATGACAGTCCAGGAATTTAACTACTAAAATGCATATCAACAGAAGATCATTATATTGGTTACTTTTTTATTTGGGCTCCCACCCTCAGGCTGCGTGTTGAGCCTCGTGTAAACCAAAACTGTACCGTGAGCTGGAAACAAACAGGCCAAAGGGCGCATGTGACCCGCATGTTGAGTAGCCCTGTTCTGAACTATGCTCCCACTGAAGGATGTTTTCTGCTAAAAGGCTCTTGTCTGCAATTTCTGTTGTCTGCTCTGCAGCATTTTTGGAAAAGCCTTTGTTATCCTTTAATAAAACCAGCACACCACAAACTTAGAATCATAGAGCTGGAAGAGACCTCAGGAGGTCATCAAGTCCAGCCCCCTACCCAAGGCAGGACCAATCCCAACTAAATCAACCCAGCTAGGGCTTTGTCAAGCCAAGAATTAAACACCTCTAGGGATGGAGATTCCACCACTTCTCTAGGTAACCCATTCCAGTGCTTCACCACTCTCCCAGGGAAATAGTTTTTCCTAATATCCAACCTAGATCCTCCCCTACTGCAACTTGAGACCATTGCTCCTCATTCTGCCTTCTGTCCCCACGGAGAACAGCCTCTCTCCATCCTCTTTGGAACCCCCTTCAGGAAGTTGAAGGCTGCTATCAAATCCCCCCTCACTCTTCTCTTCTGCAGTCTAAATAGACCCAACTCCCTTAGCCTCTCCTCAAAGGTCATATGCTCCAGCCCCCTAATAATTTTGGTTGCCCTCCGCTGGACCCTCTCCAATGCGTCCACATCCTTTTTGTAGTGGGGGGGCCCAGAACTGGACACAGCACTCCAGACATGGCCTTCCTTCTTCCAACAGAGCTAAGCATGGACTATTAGGCCTCTGCAATGGAAAGGATTTCTTAGGGCCCAATGAGGCCAGTACAGAATCGTTCCCTATATTAAATGGCCTAAGGGACATTGCTGCTAGTTCCATGTCAGGGGCCTTTTCTGATCTGCTGTTCCATTATTACTATTATTTGTATTACAAAAGCACCTCAAGCTCTAGTACAGACTGTGGTGCATGGTACAAACTCATAGTGAGCGACACTCTCTGCCCCGAAAGATCTTTCAGTCTTGAGAGAAAAGACTGGCAAAGAGTGAGAGGGGACACTGAGGCAGGAGAGGGGAGGGAATTTGCCCAAGGTGATGCAGCACATCAGAGCTGGGAAGAGAAGCCAAATGCGAGGCAGTGAACTCTTGATTCCCACTGGCAGAGGGCACAGGGGTGAATAAGGGTTCCAAAAATCTCTTGGGTCTGGTCTCTACACAGTAGTTTATCAAAGGTCGCCATGTATGGGCTCTAGTGAAAGGTTGTGTCATGCTGATCCGCATCGCCACCGTGAAATGTAGGTGTGGATAATACGTAAGGTGCTGTGTATATATCCTGAAAATTATGCTCTGTGATTAGGGGCTGGTCACCAAAAGGTGACAAACCACCTTCTTTCCAGCAGGATATGCTTATCTACCTGTCTGGCTATATGTAAGTTGGATATTGTTTGCTTCACAGTGAAAGGCTATTTACATTCTCAGCCAAATGTTAATCACAAGCTAGCAAAGTCTCCAGGGGGAATTCTAGACAGGAAATAATGAGCAGCGGAGAGGTCCCCTATCCTGTATACAAGCAAAAACCTGGATTATTGGAGCTCTGTCTGAGGGTACAGAGGTCACCCCCATAATCTGTCACGTAGAGGACAAGCTGCCAGAATGCTTGTCTTAGAAACAGAGGGTCACAGCCTGCCTGCTTACGTCCTGGGAGAAAAAATTTGGGTGAACTAAACATCACGAGTCAGAAAAATATCTTGTTAGTTAAGTCTAGGCCTGGATGGTGAGGGGTGTTTTATGTGACACTAGCCAATTGCTTCCAATATTTCTACTTACTTGCTATTACTCAAGCCTCTGTTCTTTGTTAAATACATGTAGCTTTGATTTCCCTATTGATGTGCTGTGTAGAGCCAAGTGGTAGTCTGAAGTATAAGTAGTAAGCTATACAATACTGTTCCTTTGGGAGCAACAGCTGTGTGAATTCTGTGAGTGTCCAGTTGACCGAGGGCTGTGCACTCCAGGAAGATGCTCATAGAGTTTTGGGAGATACATGGTGCCTATGGCTAATCTGCAAAGGGGCAGTGGGGTTGAGTAGACTGAGAGGGCAGTGCTGGTGGAGTCAGGGAACTAAAACTAGGGATTACCAAATGTAATTAATAGGCAGCAGGTTTAAAACAAACAAAAGGAAGTTTTTCTTCACTCAGCGCGCAGTCAACCCGTGGAACTCCTTGCCAGAGGATGTTGCAAAGACCAGGACTTTAACATGGTTCAAAAAAGAGCTGGATAGCTTCATGGAGGTTAGGTCCATTAATGGCTATTAGCCAGGATGGGGAGGAATGGTGTCCCTAGCCTCTGTTTGTCTGGAAATAGATGACAGGAAAAGGATCATCTAGGATTTTCTGTTGTGATCCCTCCCTCTGGGGCATCTGGTATTGGCCACTGTCAGCTGACAGGATACTGGCCTAGATGGGCCTTTGGTCTGACCCAATGTGACCATTCTTAGGTTCTTATGTTCTTACCCCCTAGCAGACACAGATGAGGCTCCCTTGCTTTAAGGGCACATGGTGGAGAGGTGCCTCATTACCTGAGAAATCCCAGGGAATATCACATGAGTTCCCTGACTTCCCATCTGGGCCCCTATCCACTAGGCTCACCCTGCCTCCCAGTGTGTGTGACACAGCCCCTACCAAGGGCTGGCCCACAGTGCGTTATGAGTATGGCCCAGTTTCTAGGGGCAGGAGTCATTCCTGCAGCCTGTACCCTTAGTGCCGAAGACCTTGGGCGCAAGCCCTGCCGGCATCCCCAGGGGACCATGTTCACAGCTTGCTTGATAGCATTTGGATTGAGGTGGCAGCAGCCCCAGACCCTTCAAAGCTCACTAAAGGAGGTGGGGGAGCGGAGCTGAAAGAAGGATGGTGAGGCTCCAGCAAAGCAAAATACCTTCTCTGCCTCACTGGGGGTATTGGAGCTGTTTGGAAGCTGTACAGTGCGGTGGATTCCTACCCAAAGATCTCTTTCTGGGGTCCTTTCACCAGGAAGTCCTTTCCTGCCATGCTCTTGAGGAGGGATTGGGCAGCAAAGTAAGGACATCTGCAGAGGACACACATGTTGCTGGGTAGGTACAGCCAGTGGTGTTGGGCTAGGAGCTCATGGAAGCAAGGGAGGAGTTCAGGCTGGGGGACAGGAGTCTGACTCTGGTCTAATGTAAGGCAATGAATGCTGGAAAGAATGGCCAGCGTGTTTCACTCATGCCGATGGGCTCCAGTCTCTTGGGTGACTTATGTGAAAAGCACATGGGGCCAGAGGAAGGCTGTTGACTAAGATGATACCAGTCCACTCCTGAGATCAGTAGGGTGGTCTACACCAGCTGGGGATCTGCCCCACTGGCTCCAATAGAATCATGCTGATTTACACCAGATAGGGATCTAGCCCATTACATTGATATAGTTGCTTTACAGAGCAAAACTGTGCTTTTAAATCTTTATCACACCCAGCTCTGTATGCTGCAGCGGAGGCCTGATTGCAGCTGTTGTTAAGCCCGTTGTGGTAGAATGTTGTCATGAATTTTTATAAGCAAATAATCCCCAGGCTTCTGGCTCTCGGGTAATTTTTGTGCACATGATTTATGATCCTACTATGCAATCTAAATTACATCAAGATGCAATCTGTGGGTAGACAAACGGGAGAGATGTGGTAAAGGACAAGGTACCAGGAAAGGATGGATCATGGCCCTTGGCTGGTGTAAACTTGCATTAGTATTTAGGACCAATCGCTTTGATTGGTTGACAGCTAATTTCTGTTGGATGCACATTAAAAAACCACTGCCAGACCTCACTGCAAACATCTGTGAGCTAGTTTTTTTTAGTATTTCAGATTTCTGGAAGAAGGGTATTCTTTGATCTCTGGTACATCCTAGCCTTCCTTCCCACATGACTATAGCTCAAGATTTTTGCTATACAGACTCAGGGCCAGAACCCTAGATGGTGAAAACCAGTGTAGCTCTATATGATGTTAATGCAGCTACATCAGTTTACACCAGCTGAGCACCTGATCTTCAGTTTAATTAAATGTGTAACATACTTAGCAGTTTTCCCTGTTGGCATGTCAATTATTCACTCCTGCTTCCATCGGGTGATGCTAACTTAAAGTCCTAGTGGAAGACAGGTGTTTAAATGGTGGTTCTAGTCAGTCTGTTCCAATGATATCATGGGGATCCCCACTGATCCCCATACATGAGTCTAACTAAATACAATTCACAAATTCACAGCAGATTTTTCTAACCACCCCCAGTGCCACAAGCTCCCTGTGGGCTCTAGAAATCCTGCTTAACCTTTCCTGCCTCCTGCACCATTGTTATTGCCAGAGTCCAGACTGGGCAAGACTGTTGCTGATGCCAAAGGCAGAATAGACCCCTTCCTCCCGCACTCATTCTCCCACAGCTGTGCAACGTCCACAGGACTGGTGCAAGGAGGATCTGTGGTGTTTCAAAGACACCACGAGGAAAAGCCACAGTTCCATGCACTTTCCCACCCATGTCACAACGTAACATAGAATGTTT